GCTGGAGACTGCAGAACTCCATAGCTGAGCCTTCTTGGGCTTATCGTTTGTTTGGCATCTTTTGGTTAAGTTGCTTCATTTAAAAAAAACAGAACAAAACCGTTTTTAGCCTTTTATTGATGCAGTTGTTTTTCCTGTTAAATCTTTTGGTGCATATAGTGCATAGTCATCTCTTCTGCTTCCTCATATTTTAGTTTTTTACTTTTAGGTAACTTTTTTGTTATTTGGATCACTTTTGTTGTACGAGATTTCAAAAAGGGCTTTGTGATTGCTTGCTTTCACTTTGCGTTTGGCTTGTTCATTTGTGAGTCCATTACACACTGACTGACTATTTACAAGTATGTGTGTGTGTGAGAGAGAGAGAGAGAGAGAGAGGGAGAGTGTTTCAGAAACATTTACTCATGGAGCACATAGTATGTGTGTGCATCTGTTTTAGAGTGTGTTCTTGACCAACTGTAGGCTAACTAACTCTTAAAAGCACATTAGAGTTGTTTGCTTTAAGTTTGCATACTCATTTAGAGGTTATCTGTTTGATTTTATAGTTGATTATGAGTAGACTCGTGTATTAGTAGTAGAGAGAGAGTGTGTGTGTGCGTGTATAAATGTGTGTGTGTATTGTGTGTGCTGCATGTGCAGTTGGTGTGTTGATATATTACTCACCTACAGGTTGCTATGACTGCTGCATCCGCTGCCTGGGCGCCGTGCCCTACACCAGCCTGCTGGCCACCCTGCTCTGCTACACCGGTGTGGCGCTCTTCTGCGGGGGAGGGCATGAGGCGCTCACTCACACACGCACATTCGTAGAGCTCTACTTCGCAAGGGACGTCCAGGATTTCATTGTGCTGGCAGACTTGTGAGTTATTGACTTTACACAGTGCTTAATGTGAGCACAGAATTGCTTTTTTCATTAATCAGTGTTCTTTAGCATAGTTTGTTCTAATTTGTCTTATGAGACCAGTGGTTTGTGTTTGCATTTGTTATTTATTCTATATTTTGTGTTTCAGTATAAAATATTTCCAGTATGTGATCTACGGTCTGGCCTCCTTCTTTTTCCTCTATGGATTGTTGCTCTTGGCTGAAGGTTTTTACACCACCAGTGCAGTAAAGCAGACTTTTGGAGAGTTCAGGAGCACCAAGTTTGGGCGCTGCCTCAGCCTGACTGTGAGTGTGTGTGTATGTGTGCGCGCGCGCGCGTGTGTGTGTGAGAGAGAGAGAGAGTTGGATTTTGAATTTTGTTGTAAAAAATGTGATTTCTTGTCCTAAAAAAATATTATTAAAATACTATTAAAAATAATTTGTATTAAAATAGCCATTATTATAATATTAATTAATTTCTTAAAGCTGCAGTCCGTAAGTTTTGGCGCTCTAGCGGTTAATAAACAGAACTCCGTGCGTCTTGCGGAAGAACATTGTAGCCGGAGCTACTTCTCTCTATTTATGTCTATGGCGAATCACGCAGGTGCTGGGCTACTCCGCAGCGGTACCTACCCGAACCAGTCTAAATAGTCCGAATATAAACACTTATTATAGGTGTACCGTAGTGATTCAGGACAAGCCAAAAACACGGTTTGGAAAATGGATTCATGGTGTACTCGCTTATTATATACATTTTGTAAAGTTTGAAAACAAAAAACTTACGGACTGCAGCTTTAATATAACATTAATTGATAATAATTATAAAAAAATATGAAAACCTTAAAAAGTCATGGAAAAGCTATGGGAAGTTCAGTAGACAATATGCTTTTTCAGTTATGCAGTTCTAAAGTATTAATGCAGCGTGAAATGACTCTCTGTAAATGTGATCTCTATAAAATGATTTTGAAGCTACTTATCCTATCATTACAAATGATTGGAAAAGTCAGGGGGGAAAAAAAATCATAATTCGCAAAGTGTGGTAATTCTGAAATATACTCCAGCTAGATCATTCGGATCATCCAACAGCAACTTGCTTGGTTGTGCCTACTCTCAGATAACCTGTGAGCAGGTGGTTTAGTCAGCTATTTTGTAAAGTCAGTTTTTTGTATCTCCTTCCATATATATTTATGTATGTGAACATTTATGACCATATATGAATATGTCTTCTGTAAAGCAGTTAAAACACTGTTAAGGTGCCATATAAATCAATTTTTACTTACTTTCTTACATAGTTTGCAATGTCCATGCCTGTTATGTTGCACTGATCTGATTAGCTGTTTCTCTTGTCCAGTTTATAATCCTGACGTACGTGCTCGCTGTGATCTGGCTAGTTGTCTTTGGCTTCACAGCCATTCCTGTGCTCTTCTTCATTAATATGGAAAGCTCCTGTCACAAAGTCAACATTCTGTCGGAAACCACCTTGTTCAACCAGCAAGCAAGAGTCTGTATGGATGCACGGATGTATGGTACGTCTGCGCCTGCATTTCTGTACATATGCATGTGTGTGTTCATCTGTACATTAGCGCGTGTGTGTGTTCACAATCATGATGTCTGGGTTGTTCTATATAGGGTTTCTTCCCTGGAATGCTGTGCCAGGGATTGTTTGTGGAAACACACTGGCAAACATCTGCAAAACACCAGAGGTTAGATGTTTATAATCCTGGGCACACACACACACACTTAGAGTTTCAAGAAATCATATCACTTATATCCCTTTTTATGTTTCCAGTTCTACGTGACCTATGACCTTTATATCTGTGCATTTGCTGGAGCAGGAATCACCCTTCTTGCCCTGGTTAGTGATCTAATATTTTACACGTGTGAATTTTAAAAGTCATTTATAGTTGTGGAAGATTTTGTGCAAGGTTATAGTGAGCTTCTTCAAGAGGCTCGTTGCTTTGTGTTCTGGAAAGCATCAATTATTAATTAGCTAATCCACCTCAGCAATCTTTATGAAATTTTAAAAATCACAACTGACAGTGATCTTGACAAGCACTGAGAACGGTAACAGCTAATGTACATATTCATCTGTAATTGTAAATTGATTATTATATTTACACATTCATTTATATTTATTTATATGCCTATTGGCAAACTTTGAAATTCACTGGGATTTTATTTGCACTGAATTCTTTGAGGTCAGAGTGCAGAGCTGTCAAACAGCATGAAGTTAATAACGGAAGTACAGCAGGGGAATGTTTATCAGTAACTGACCTCTCTACTACTGACAGATCCCCAGCGTCTCTACTCCCTTTTCCTGTATATCTGGCAGCAGTCATTTCTCAGGCTTTATCTAAAGACAACCACTAGGAGCAACCAGAGCTTCTCTGTCATACGGAGGAGCACAATGAGATTGATACAAACCCGTAAATAAGTAGGAAATGTGCTCGTGCTATTGCCAGACGGTAGGAAATAATAACTGCATTAATAAACGTACACAACCTTTTTAAAGAATCCAGCCCTGAATTTTTCAACTATACTATACTAGAATTTAAGCCCCAGTTGCCCAAGGGGGATTGTTTCTCTAAAATATACGCTGCTATGGACAAGATTGTAAATAAATAATGATGTGCTATTGTTGGAATTGCATTCCTTGCCTGATGTTTATAGTGAGTCTCAAAGGGATATAAACATTAATGTCACAAGAGCTCAAATTTCTCCTGTTTGAAAAACCTTTTGCAGAGGAACACATCAGATATGTTGTTTCTTCCTTCTTTTTTTCTAGTTCATTTATGTGGTTGCCACCACCTACAACTACGCTGTTCTAAGGTTTCTCGGAAGAAAGGGAATCCGTTGCTAGGTTCGGTGTTGCTAGGTCCACTTTCCTGTTGCCTGTGGCAGCAGTTTCAGTGGTCATCACTGTGGCCGGAGAGGAAACGCAAAAGAGCTCCATGAAGCCCCTGCAGAGTTCTGTCATACAGAGCACAAACACACATGAGCCACTGGTTTCATGAGACAGATTAGTACAAACTACACTAAGGAAGATTGACCAAAAAAATAAAATCTTTGATTAAAGCACTACATGTAAAACCACAAACTGCTGTACTGTAGATCTCTGGAGGAGTGGAATTTAGCTTCTATATTTCTTCATTTGTCTCCTCTCTCTGTGTCTTCGCCACACACATTATTATATTGCGCTCTCTTTTCTCTCATGGCCATTTATTCATTTTAATGATTGTATTCATTGTGCTTCATGGTCTTATTAATGCCTTGCAGTTTGCCAGGATTTTAGCCTCTCTCGTCTCTCTCTCTCTCTCACACACATTCCATCTTTTTGAGAGAGTTCGGGTGTGTTGTTTCCTCAGTCAGATGTGGGTTGTTATTCTGCGTGACACATAATGAAACAGCGCTGTAGTGAGCAGCTTTCTTTGGGTCAATTTGAATTCAGTATTTACAGACACTCTTAGTGTCAGTGTCACCTCCTGTGTGTGATTTTATGTTTGTGGGTGTATTTGTTGTATATTTTGACTAACTGTGGCAATAAGCTGAACCTGATCAATGATGGTGCTCGATCAAAGGAACTGTTTGTTTGTTTTTTATTGTTAACTTACTGGCTCACTTCAGAAAACTAAATATTATTTCTACAGTAAGATGGATAACTGTAAATGATTAATAAAACTTGTGCAGAATTCAGACTAAAGTGAGTTTACATAAAATTGTTAACTTTATTGAAACTCATGCAATAAACTAATTTCCTTTAATGAAAGCTGACCATCAGTGTTGTCAATTCTTCTCACAGCAACAGACATTTAAACAGGATAACTCAAGCTTATAGGACGTTTTAAAAAATACAGTTTAAATGATGAATTGTTAGAAGACAAAGAGAAATATATTGATCAGAAAGAGAGAAATAATTATATAATCATTTACAGAAAAATGGTGAGGAATATATATATGTGCTCTAAACCGATGACAGCAGTTCTTCTGGGTGGGCAAATGACAAAATTTTCCCTAGTATCCCTTTAAGCTGCGATCAAGAGAAAACAAAAAAGGAAAAAAATAATAGTAATGAATGCCTCAGGGCTTCTGTAGGTTTCAATGATCCCATCCCAAAACGTTTTTGACCTTGTTTACACCTGTACTGATCACCTGTGATTGGATCACCAAAAACCTTAAAATCAGATGGAAATATACAGACAAGACTCAGATAAAAAACAATTTGGGGGAAGGGTGAAACACTGACATCTGAACCTGAGTACTGAGGAAGAAAAGATTTTTAAAAAGTAAACCTTGAAACAATCCCGACGGCAGCAAATGTCAGGAATGTTGACGGAGATTTTCACATTTTCATCTAAGGGCAGCTTGCAGAAGGAACACATGGTTTTACCTTTCACACTGCAAAGGGAAACATACACAGATACACACCCATCTTATGAAGAATTAAATTGTATTAAATTCTAATACCTGTTAACTTTGTTGTAAAAATAAATGCAGGTATTTAGTAAGACAGACAGGTCACACTTAATTTTACAGTGTTGATGTATGTGCTCTAAACCGATGACAGCAGTTCTTCTGGGTGGGCAAATGACAAAATTTTCCCTAGTATCCCTTTAAGCTGCGATCAAGAGAAAACAAAAAAGGAAAAAAATAATAGTAATGAATGCCTCAGGGCTTCTGTAGGTTTCAATGATCCCATCCCAAAACGTTTTTGACCTTGTTTACACCTGTACTGATCACCTGTGATTGGATCACCAAAAACCTTAAAATCAGATGGAAATATACAGACAAGACTCAGATAAAAAACAATTTGGGGGAAGGGTGAAACACTGACATCTGAACCTGAGTACTGAGGAAGAAAAGATTTTTAAAAAGTAAACCTTGAAACAATCCCGACGGCAGCAAATGTCAGGAATGTTGACGGAGATTTTCACATTTTCATCTAAGGGCAGCTTGCAGAAGGAACACATGGTTTTACCTTTCACACTGCAAAGGGAAACATACACAGATACACACCCATCTTATGAAGAATTAAATTGTATTAAATTCTAATACCTGTTAACTTTGTTGTAAAAATAAATGCAGGTATTTAGTAAGACAGACAGGTCACACTTAATTTTACAGTGTTGATGTTTCTGTGTTTACACATAAGAACTGATTTATGCTAATAAACTTACTGTGTTAATATTTTGTGGATTCTTTAATCACCTATTTTTAATGATATTGCTTTAGAAATTAATTAAAGCAAAATATTATAACATCTACTCAAACAAAGTCCACAGATATCATATCTCAATGAAGGTGTCTTATAAATGACTTACTTCAGATCAGCTTCACTGTTCAGTCTGTGGTGCTCTTCCAGGGCTGGTTCTTCGATCAGTTCTGTCGTTGCTCTAGTTGATGACTCTGTTGTTAGAGGCAGTGTACCTGAAGGCTTTGCTGGGTTCTCATGTAGAGTTTTGACTGTTTTCTCCTGCAGCGCTCCACTGGATTGTGTTTGATCTGTTGAAGCTCCATCTACCAGTGTCTTCCCTGTTTCCTCTACATGAGTCTCTGTATGTGTCTTCAATGATTCTTCTGCGGGTTTCACCACTATGTTCTTTACAGGAAGATCTGTAGGTGTCTTCAATGGTTCCTCTACAGGTATTTCTATAGGTTTCTCCACTTCGTCCATTTTAGGAGTGTCTGCATGTGTCTTCAATGGTTCCTCTACAGGTATTTCTATAGGTTTCTCCACTACGTCCGTTTTAGGAGTGTCTGCATGTGTCTTCAATGGGTCCTCTACAGGTATTTCTATAGGTTTCTCCACTACGTCCGTTTTAGGAGTGTCTGCATGTGTCTTCAATGGGTCCTCTACAGGTATTTCTATAGGTTTCTCCACTACGTCCGTTTTAGGAGTGTCTGCATGTGTCTTCAATGGGTCCTCTACAGGTATTTCTATAGGTTTCTCCACTACGTCCGTTTTAGGAGTGTCTGCATGTGTCTTCAATGGTTCCTCTACAAGTTTTTCTGTTGGTTTCTTCACTACATCTGTTTTAGGAATATCTGCAGGTGTCTTTAATGGTTGCTCTGCAGGTTTGACTATGGATGTCTCCGCTTCATCCTCTACATGTGCTCTCCTGGAGTCATCAAGGACAGGATGTACACTGGAACACATTCAGAATAATTATGAAGCATCTGATTGTCCTCAATGAAATATTACATGTTGATATAGCAGTTCAGTATTGTTAGAAATGAATGAGAGTGAACATTTAATGATTTCTGCTTCAGCTGTTCTAACTGGCATTTAAGGAAATTAAAGAGTAAAAGCCTCTATTCAGTACAGAGAGGTGTACCAAACCTTTTCGCCAGTTTGGACCCACTCCTGACTGGTGTGTTTTCTGTTGAGTTCAGGGGCCTAAGGGAGAACAGATGGCTGAAGTTATTAAATGGAAACATACTGAATGCAGAAACATTGAATACAGGAATCACACTCAAGGAAAATAAGTAATAAAATAACAGCTCTCACTCAAACTTCCTTAAGGCTGACATAACATCAGAGCTTTGAGGAGGTGTGGACAAGTCCAGGCTGGAGGAGATGGTGGCACTCTGTGCACATGGCATAAAGGAGGAAGAAACCGAACTGCTCTCAGGCGATGATACATTCTTAGGCTTTACTAGCTTTACTGGTTTCCTGTGGAGAGTAAACAGAAAAAAATGAGATAAAGTGAGAGTGAGAGAGACAGAGACAGCGATGTTCACACTGATCAATTTCAGTGCTCAAGCAAACATGAGAAAGACCTTTGGCTAGTTGATGCTACCACTCTCAGCCAGCAGATGACAGCGAAAACCTGCATTTACCGTGCTTTTACATCTGACTGTGTGTCCTGAACATCTTGAGAACTGTTGATCCAGCTTCCATCTTGTTTCAAATGGTTTCGAACTTTTAGCGCTTGGAATACAGCCTGACTGTTAACATCTACAATCATAGAAAATGATCTGTTAGAGTGTATTTTGTTAACAAATGTATATATTGTGTGTGTGTGTGTTTGTGCATGTTTTACCACTGTACATGGCAAGATCCTCTTCTTCAATCAGGCCTACATACATGAAATTTGAAATCCGCTTCAGTTTTTCTATCTCTCCTTCTGTTGTTATCTATACCATAGGTGCATTATTTGGAGCCAGTTGGTCAACATTATTAAAGATTTGATCTAAGCTCAGAACAGGTTTAGACTGGCACAAACAGGCTCCTGTACTCCCCAAAGATTCATCCACATACTGTACAAAAATGCAGCACGGCCACATTTTTTTCTCAGTATGTATGTGTTATCTAGCGTGCCATCCAGAACAGAAACTCCGGTGCTGTCACACAGTAAAATATGTTGTGAAGTTTTTTTTTTGTTTTCCTGCAGTCTTCATGCACTGTTTGGAATTGCACTTGACATAGTAATTGCATTGTGTTGGGGTATATTAGTCCTTTAACACTTAAGTGGTGAAGAAGTAAATAGCTAAAAATAAATGAGCCGGAAGACATTCAGGACAATGGCAAAGAGGAAGAACAGGTCATAAAACAGCAACACAAACACAAGAGTGATGAGTAAACTGTCTGTAAGATCTTGTGTGTGTTTGTTTATATGTGCTGGGCTTGTGGAATGCTTAGGTTTTCTATTGCACATGCTTTACTATGTACGATAGCACTAATTTTATGATATCACAGTGATATGGAGCTATATATTCCCACATTTCCCTCATTGGGAATTTTGTTTGGGAAATTGGGAAATTCTGTTTGAATTTTAGTGCCAGGAGTCTGAAGGGATCTGTTCTGTTTACAAATACTTTTCTGTTTCTATGAATAATGCACTTACATGCGTTGTAAGAGTTTGATTTCAGTCAGACTAAAACAATAGTTTCTCTTATTAAATGTCATGGAAATGCTTTAGCAAGACTGAAATTGTACCGGTCCGATTTGTGCGATATCAAAATGAATGTCTTTGACCTCTGCATTGTTTGCATGCTCCAAAAGACTGGTGATTTACAATAAACAGTCAGTTATCTCGTATATTTGGACAGACAGATGAAAACTGAAGTGCCATTACACATGCCTGTACCCAGGTACACAAGTAAGATAATTATGTTTACTTTGTCCCTAAACCTAACACTCTTACAAATCTGCTGACATTATTAGATTTAAAACAAGAGAAAATTTGGCCGATTTATGAACCTTTTAAATAGTACTACACTTCAAATGTCAGTGTTTGACTATAGTGATGACATTTTCAGTTTTGTCTTTCACAAAATTAGCTAGTACATTTAGAAAAGCCATGTCCTCCTACTAAAACATCCCAGGATCAAAAAGCATTACATCACACATGTATCGGGTAAGTCTAAAACATAATGGCAGGATTTCCTCAACACTTCCCAGAATAGTGAAATCGTCTTCATTACTTGTTTTGTTAACATGTCATTGATCACAGTTAGAGGAAGAACCCCTATTACATAATCCAAACCCACTCAGACGAAAACTTGAACACACAGATGAGTTCAACAACCAGATCTTAAGAGTTTTATCAGCGAGGATCTCTCATATATGCAACCATTTTCACAAGGAGCATTTCAGGTTGGTTTTAGACACAGTTTTAGACTGTGTTTTAAAATTAAAATAACGGCTGTCATGATAATGTTAATAATCATGATAATGCAAAGTTTAAGCTGACAGTCTTATTCTCGTCATGATTACAGATAGACAGATGATACATAGACAGACAGACAGACAGGATGGATGACAGACAGACAGGATGGATGACAGACAGACAGACAGACAGACGGATGAACGGATGGATGGATGACAGACAGACGGACGGACGAACGGATGGATGGATGGATGACAGACAGACAGACGGACGGACGGACGGACGGACGGACGGATGGATGACAGACAGACAGACAGACAGACAGACAGACAGACAGACAGACAGACAGACGGACGGATGGATGGATGACAGACAAACAGACAGACAGACAGATGGATGGATGGATGACAGACAGACAGACAGACGGACGAACGGATGGATGGATGACAGACAGACAGACAGACGGACAGACAGACGGATGGATGGATGGATGGATGACAGACAGACAGACAGACGGATGGATGGATGACGGACGGACGGATGGATGACAGACAGACGGACGGATGGACGGATGGATGACAGACAGACGGACGGACGAATGGATGGATAATCACATACAAAACAGTAAAATTGTTCACTTGCAAACACCATTTATTGATGCTGTTCCATTATAACAGTATTATAATTCCATTTACAATGATTTATCATTTTAACAACATTTTATATTACTGTGACTTTTTATATTACAGCTTAAAGAGTTTTAGACAGACAGACAGACGGACGGATGGCAGACAGACAGACAGACGGACGGACGGACGGACGGATGGATGACAGACAGACGGACAGACAGACAGAC